CACACACACACACACACACACTATAGTTTTGTTGAGTTACAATATTTGTAAACATGTAGGTTTTTTGTCATTATGTTCACCAAATACAAATCATCATAATGTCAGATAATTTTAGACAAGTTTAGTGAGTACCGTAGGCAAGATCAAATTATTATTGACTTAAATCAAGATAAGTGAAGGATTATCACACATTATAGACACAAACATGTTGGTGACTTTAGAGATTCATTCCCCAAGTAACAAATGTCTATATTACCTTCAAAATAAATTTGTGGCACAATATGCTTTTCTGATGGATTCTGTAATGTTTCGCCTTTGTTTCTTTACAACAAATTTACCGCAGATATAACAAAATATTTTTCAGTCATTTACACAGCCTCTTGTTGCCATAACGACAAATAAATAATATTGAAAAGAAAAAATAATGTCAAAGTTTCTCATGGGTACTAAAACAATCGATGACTCTCACATTGCGATTGGTCTTGAGAAGTCTATAGTCAATGTTTGTTTACATTTTAAGCATAACAAAATGAGAACCTGATTTCAATGAAAATTATTCACTTGTGTAAAAGTACATATGATGTTTTATGAAAAATCTGTGCATGATGGAGAAAAATGGATATTTTTGGATTGAGCGTACAAGAATTACTGTAGAACATGCAAGAATTTCAAGACAATAAAATTGTTGCAGGGCTATGTTATCTATGATCTGCATAAAGTCCCACACTGAGATACTGCAACGGGTTACTTACAATAAGGACAGCAGGATATGTCCAGATATGTCAGCAGGGAACCATCTTGTGCCTTTTTTCTTTTGTTTTTGTGTATAAACAAGAAAAAGGAAAGGATAGGGGTCTGAACTTTGATAGATTGTTTAGGTAGAGTATTCACAATAAGTAAACTAGAATGGATGGCAATTGCCTGTTGCAAAAGACACGTGCAGAGGATGGCATTTCAAAAGACTTTTGAAACGTCATCCTCTACATTTGTGTTTTTTAAAACAGGCAGTTGCTGTCCATTCCAGTTTACTCATCATGGGTCTGAGCTATTGTGTACAGAAGGAAATGAGTGTTAAATTGTAAAAACCTTTGATCATAGTCTTGAAAAGAAAAATGCAATCTTGTAATAAAATCAACCTATCCTTATGGTAACGATTCCAGGAGTTATCCAAAACAAAAAATATCAGAGCAACATCTCCCACAAGCAAAAAGAAGAAAATACATCCTAAGAGAAAGAAGGTATGAAGAACAGGTGGTCAAAGCTTAATGGGGGCATGTAAGATCTCTGAAAACTAAACAGATATTGTAGCCTGGAAGAGGAACTGGATAAGGAGCATTACTGAATAGAAAGGCTGGGAACATGATCATAAGAACTGGAGAAAATCAAAAGAATATCCCAAGAAGTGATTATAGAAATGGATAGATCATCTCCAAAAGTCAAGGCAAAAAGTGGTATAAGGAAGCTTTTAAAAATCTGATGACAATGAGTGGAAAATGGACCACATCAATAAATCTTCCACTTGCAGTGATAAATGACAAATAAGAGTGAGGAAGAAAAACCTTCACATCTTGCAAGATGCAGGACAAAAACCACACATGTGGTGAATGATGAATGTCTGAGGATGATGTAAAAAAAGAGACCTCCAAGAAAAAGATAGAGGCTTCAGGATAACCAAGAAGAAAAAAAGCAGAAACCATGACTAAGTTGGCCAAAAAGGTGCAATTAGATAATCCTGGCAGCAAAGAGTGCTGTGAATTAAAGACAGCACCTTGGGAAGAATTTAAAGAACAAATATACAGAAAGAGGGTGGACCAATCCAGACTCAAAGAGAATACCACCACAGCCACAGAGTCTGAAACTGGAGAAAAAAAAATGTGGAAGCTTGGTATTGAAGATAGTAACAAATGCATCAATAAGAGGGCTCCCATAGTGGGAATAAGTCCACAGGAGAAAGTGTCTCCCTGTCAAATGATATTAGAAACAACAGTTGAATTGTCAAAATAGATAAAAAAACAAAAACACTACTGCATGAAGGAAAAGTGCCAAATGGAATTCCAAGATAAAACTGAGTCTAATCCAGAAATAAAGGCATCCCAATAAAGTAAAACCCTGAAACAGAAAAACAAGTACATTGGGCAATAGCTGAAAGGAAGAAAACACAGGTTAGTGTGTCCTCCCCCAGTAAAGCTATCAGGGCGGAGATGCACAGCTTTAGAAAAAAAGAGTAATAAGGACGACAAGCTAAGAAGTTGAGTAAGCAAAAGATGAAGACAAGCATATTGAGGAAAAGAAGAGTCAATACACATGGAGAAAAAAATCCCCAAGCTGGAAGAAGAGATTCAATGGATAAGAGCACCAGATTCCAACCATAGGCCACAGAGGAGTCTAAAGTTCAAGAAGGACATGGCAACTGAAAGTCAACAAGAAGTGGAGACAGAAAATATCAGGTGAGGAAATAAGATTGGAAACAAGTTGTACGTGTTGAGGTGCAAGAGAGAAGCTTACCCAAGAATTTATACACATACTTAAGTTATCAAGACAGCAAATGATAAAGGTGGGTGTTACCTGATTCTCATCAAGGATAGAAGAATAAAAAGAAAAGACAGGTTGTGGGAAGAGTTAGTAAAAGTTGTCTAAAAGACAAGGAAGGCTCAGCAGAAGTTACAGAAGCAGGAAGCTGTGAGACCTGGGTCCAAAATAAATGTACACCAGAACCAACCATGAGATACAGAATGGTGGAAATAATGTTCACCAACAGTGTAACTCCAGTTTTCATTGAAAGAAAATATGACAGTGTTATAAAGGAAAATTTGAACCTTGGGTAATTTCAAACACATGGATATGAAAAACCAAATAAGAATCACAAAACTGAATTGATGAAAACTATTAATATCATTAAGATTTCAATCTATTACTTGTTATTTTGTCAGTAAGGCTGATATATCTATGGTATCTTGACC